TACACCCTTCTAGACGCTGACACGCATTTAAAGCGAGAAGGAATGCTTCGCTGTGAGAGGTTGTTCGAAGAGGATGGGGCAATTCCATCAATAGGCGTTCGTACGGATCTTTCCCAACGCAACCTTTACCCACCACCCAATTGGTTGAAGGCGGGTCAATGTAGAGCATATTATACATAGATAGCTTCAACCTAGGCCTCCGTCCTCTTTCCTCTCCGTCTGCTTTCGCCGTTCTTGTTTTCCATCGGTACGGGGGATCAGCTTACGTTTGCGCCATTCTTTCGGTCCTTTCAAAATGAGTGAGACGGCCGTGGTACCACCACTTCCGGCCGAAAATGGCAAGCACGTCTGGAGGGCCGCTGTTATCATGCCTTTCATCACATTCTTTTTCGTGGCCGCGAGGTTCTACTGCCGGACATACATAGTGAGGAGGAAATGGGCTATCGATGATTGTACGTCTCCAACCTAGTGGCTATATCGGAATGACGCTCACCAGAGAATAGATGTAATCGCGGCGACTATGGTAGCTGTCATTATCCACGCCGTACTGATAGCCCAAGCAACGTATCACGGCATGGGTTTACATGTGTGGCAATTCACGCCTGAGCTTAATAAAGAATACTATCTCTGGATCGGCATCTCCTCCGAATTCTACGTATTAAGTCTGGCCGGCTTCAAGAGCGCGTTGATATTGCTCTACCTCCAGATCTTTGGCATCCACAAAAAGTTCAGGATAGCATGCTACATCACCTTATTCTACACACTAGGCTACCTAACATGCAACGCACTCACCGAGTTTCTCGGCTGCTGGCCCATTGCGAAGAAATGGGACTCTAAGTTACCCGGACATTGTATCAACAGTGTGGGGGCTAATATTGCCTACGGGGCTGGCCACATGACGAGCGATCTTATCATCGCCATTCTACCCCTGACGATGGTTTGGAGACTGCAGTTCCCAACAACGAAGCAGAAGATTGGCCTCAGTCTGGCTCTCAGCAGCGGCTTTATGTAAGTATCGCCCAGTGCCCTGTGAAAGACATCGCTAACAAGAGAACTTTACAGTGCTTGGGCAGTGGCTTGTGTTCGTTGGGCCATCTCGACTTACAACATGTTGATTTATGACCGTCCTTGGTACGAATTTGAAATTCCCCTCCCCTTTTCTATTTCTTCCAACTTTAGCAGTCCACTTTTGGGCATGTTCTAAAATTAGAAGCATCCAAACATATCCTTAACTCATAGCTACCTATACTGAGTAGCTTGCTAACTAGTATCATAGGTGGGCTGGTATAAGCTTCACATTTTCTATTCTCGAAGTGAACACAGGCCTTATCTGCGCCTGCGCAGCGACATTCAGCCCGCTGTTCAACATATTCACGACACGAGTGAGGACTTGGAAGAGCCGAGCATCAAATAGCTGGCATAACAGCTCCCGAAAGGCATCCATAAGCTGGCGCAGCACCCGCGACGAGAAGGAACCTGGTTGGAGGCATATGAGCTATTCCGCCGCGCCGCCACCGGTGCCACCTCCTCCCGCACACACTATACATCCAATACCTTCGAATGATAGCTTAGAGGGCAGCGAATACAGCATGGAGCCGATCGTCACCTCTAACGCGATGCCGAGCAATAGGTCGGATGACGAATTTGCTCAATATGATCTTCAGGGGCTGCAGGCCCTGCACCCTGAAGAGGGAGGGATATTGTGAGAGGCATTCAACTCGGATAGGACAAGAACTTGATTGGCTGACTATGGCGTCTCCCTAGCGTTGAAAGAGAATGGCATATAACGTGGCAACAAGAGGGATCTAAAGCCAAAGAGAACCACGATTTTGCCTGAAGTCGATCGCGATGTCTCCACGTTTGTTACAAGCATAAAATACTTCAGAGCACTACTCCGCAGTGTGCTTCGATTCTCCGATGACACTACGACTCAAACGACGACTACATAAGATGATGATAATGATGACTCATTTGAGGGGTTGCATTCTAAAATCTCTAGAGACATTACTTCTCAGTGAGAAGTTCTCACTACTACCGCGCTTCTTATCTAAACTAGGGGTATAAACCCCTATGTACGATTATTATGGAACGTGGAATATGAAGGGTTGCAGTACCATACTTCGCTTCGCCTCAACCGAAGCCATGATGTGGTGCGACCCCTTAAATCAGGTCGCGCCATCCTCGCCACACACCTGTCGAACAAACTTCTATTTTGGGGAAGCGAGTCGAATTTATTTTTCCACCACACATTCGGCGCGGCGCACGAGGATCGAGGGGCGGTTCCATGGCGCTGTCCTTCCGGAGGATTGGATACTGTTTCATCGAGTTCATCGATTAAGCTTCTTTATACCCATTTTATTAGCTTATTAAAGCAGTAAATACCTAAACATCTCGCAAAAGAGATGAAAAATAGTAAATAGTAAATAATACTAAAAATACAAAAATGCCCTTTAAGAGGTACTTCAGACTTGATCTTAAGCTTGATTACCCCTACCGTTTGCAAATGGTTTAATTCGGGGATTCAACGGTGCAATATCAAGCACTCGGCTTTCCAGGTGTATACCAGATTATTCAATTAAATCCACAACTGATTGGATGTATTATGATGCACTCAGCCATAAGATTAAGTTCTGATGAATACACTCGAGGTATCAGATAGTTCGGGAGCTTTCATGTAAGTTTAAATATTGATGAAGTTATCTCCGTTGGTGCTTTTACGGTATGAAACTGCATGCGCCACTAAACGCGCCAAGAAATGAAACGGACAAGCTCTCGTCAATACGTAATTTCATCAACTCAGCAGTGAGCTTGAACTCAACTACTCATTCTAACGCCGTGAGCTCAATCATGAATAATCAAATTCACATTATCGTGGACACTTGAATACTTGACACACTTATATACCTCTTGACAGAAAGAGGGCAAATCCTGTTCTAATGTGAGCTGCATCCAAGCCTCACCGACATATCAGAAGCTACCCCTAAATATCGTAGCCTATGCAGTCGGGGCGGGAGGGACCAGACTACTCAGATGTAAGCAGTTCGCTTAGCTTCGATATAGAAACTGGGAACCAAGGTCCAAAATGAAGCAGGCGTTGCGACAAGCCGCGGCGGCGACATCCCGCTCACTCGCAAGGCGCGAGTTGTCAACCGAGCCCGGTGCCCTACTACCGTGGCTCAGCAGTCCGTTATTCACCCGGGTACCAACCCGGACATCATCGTCCTTACCACGCAATGTGTGTCTGCGTCGTCGGCGCCGCCAGACAAGAGGCTACAGCACACCTGACAGTAGTGGCAGCACTACCACTGCTGCTACCACCACGCGAGTAGGAGGGAAACCAAAAGAGAAGGAAAGGTCCGACCCCCTACGCATACTCTTCTGCGGCTCCGACGAGTTCAGCTGCGCGTCGCTGGAGGCGCTGCACCGCGAGCATGTGCGCAACCCGGCGCTAATAGAGTCCATTGACGTCGTCGTGCGGCCGGGCAAGCGCACGGGGAGGGGGTATAAAGTTGTCCAGCACCGTGAGTCTTGAAACTTTCAAATCTTCATATATGTCTACGTACAGGGTCTAGACAGACACGGTCACATACCGTGAGAAATTTATATACTAACAGAGGACCCTGTGATATAGCGCCGATAAGAGATCTAGCTACGAGGCTCGGTCTGCCGATTCACGAGAGGGATACGTTTACCGGATGGGATGTGAGTTTTCCATATATATGTACACACGCTTTTCCCCTGCCATCTCCTTTCCAAGCCCTGGATGCAAACCCCAGACTTCACAGCATCGCTTCACATCCCACTCCACACACATACTAAACACCCTCAGATGCCCTCCCACACGAACCTCATAATCGCCGTCTCCTTCGGGCTCTTCGTGCCGCCGCGCCTGCTCCGCGGCGCCAAGTACGGCGGCCTCAACGTCCACCCGTCGCTGCTGCCGGACCTGCGGGGCCCCGCGCCCCTGCAGCACGCGCTGCTCGCCGGCCGCCGCGCCACCGGCGTCAGCCTGCAGACGCTGGACCCCGCACGCTTCGACCACGGGCTCGTGCTCGCGCGCACCGCGCCGCCGCTGGCGATCCCGCAGGACTGCGATTCCCAGCGCTTGCTGGCGGACGTCACGCCTGTGGCAGCGCAGCTGCTGGTGCGCGGGCTACGGGATGGCGTGCATGTCCCGCCGCTGGAGGGCCTGGAGGGGGTGGCAGGGGAAGGACCGCTGCTCCACGCCCCTAAAGTCACGAAGCAAGACCGCCGGCTCCGGCGCGAGGACCTGCCGCATCTGGGGCGGCGATACCGCGCCCTCGGCTCGCTATGGTTCTACTCCCGCGACCGCTGGGGGGCGCGCAAGCGCATCATCGTCGAGAGGGTGTCCTCGGTCCCGTCCCCGCCTCTCATGCCGCTCGCCGTGGACGGCACGGACATAGCGTCGGCATCCGCGTTAGTCGGCTACGGGGGCGAATTGGCACTCGACGCGGGTACGCACGGCGATTTGAGCGATGTCGGGCCCAGCGTGCCGTATCTGCTTCCGTTAGAGCAGGATCCTGACACTGAAGAGCAGGGAGGCAGCCCTACTGCTGCTACGACCTACCTCGTTCTATGGTTCCCCGAAGGCGAGACCCAAGACGGCACGTGCTACCTCGGGGACTGCCGTATCGAGATACTGAAAGTCGAGGGCGAGAAAGCGAAGCCGGCGGCGCTGGCGCTGAAGGATTTCCTCGTCCCGGTGGGCGTGGACGGGGAAATCCCGGGCGGTGCTTAGATGGGTGAGGAATCATCACGGATAGAAAAGAAAAATGATAAATCAGCCGGTCGGGATGGGATTCGGTTCTTCTTTGACCGAACTTAGAGCACCGAGATATAGTCCAAAGTCTCTCTTGAGATATTCCCCGATCTCATAGATAGCAAATTTAGCCAGTTTCAGCTACTAGACAAGTCATAATCCACGGGTTATTGCGCATAGAATAGCCAATGGAGAAAGGTAAAAAAGCATGTGAAGGCAATGCATCAGCCGCGAATTGAACGCGGGACCCATCGATGGCAACGATGGTTGTTACCACCAAACCACTGATGTTCGTTCAAATGCCTCTCCAAACTCTTTTTTGATCTGTTAGGGAAATTGTTAACATTATATATATATAATTCCACATAGCCGTACAACTAATAGCTGGCACGTAGTGGACTGAAGGCAGCATGAATAAGTTTGAGGTTCAAATGACAAATGCTTCGGTATTTGTCCAGACGATGCAGTGTCAGTATCCCTGACAATCGTATGAATACGGTTTTGAGTAGACCTAGCAATATTAGAACATATCAAGCAAACAGAGATGACTAAGGGATAAAACATCAATCTCAACTACAGACTAGCCACAGAGCGAAGTCAAAGTAATGTCACGAGCATGATGAAGACTGAAGAAGTTGTTGATACAATGACAATTGAGTCTATTCTCGACAGAGCCTCAATGTCGACATCCAATAAGATGATGATAATACATTAGTGGTAGGCATTCCCTCATACCACTGTGTCGTTAAAGTCCCGCCGCCCACCGATATTGTCAAGGTACAAACGGAAGGAGACGTTCTCATCTCTCATAAAAATAATCATCATCCATGAAATCCCATCATTTGAGCCATAAGCAACAAGATTCCAAGCCAAGTTTTCAGTCATAATATGTCACACAATGGTTGTAGCAATTAAGAGGGGTGTATGCCGGTGTTTGTCCACATAGGACAGGTAGTGTTATTTCCATCTCAGGAGAGTTCTTACTTCGGGTCCTTCTCGTCGTCGACAGAGCTTCCGGCGCTAGAGGAAGTCTCTGTCTTCGACAGGACGGTGTCGTCATCGACCTCGGGGCCGTGGATGGTTTCATCGAAGACGGGCTCGAGCTCGTTGACGTCAAACTTCGTCTTGAAGTCCTTCAGGTGGGCAGAGTAGCCACTGCTGTTGGAGCGACGGCGTGCATTGGCGAAGTTGAAGTTCTCGTCAACAACTTCTGCACCTGCTGGACCCCTAATCATCATAGTCAGTACTGATGACTACCAAGCATTTGAGATGTGACAAGATGGGAAGACATCTTCATTCAGAGTTGTAGTTGAGTTGTAGTTGGTATGAGAGTGATGGACCTACCAGTTGGCTTTGCCTCCGCCATTCTTCTTGGTCTTCTTTGGGTCGACGCCATCGAACCCGTTCTTGGCGAAGAACTTGGGTGTGTTGTCATGAGGAGCCGCCGTGCCCTCCGCAATGGCGGCGTGCGGCTTCTCTCCGTGCTTGTGAGATCGAGTCACTGTAAACGACAGCACGGGTCAGCAACCAGGTCAAACTAATACCCGAAGGACGTCAAGAGTAATTATGTCCTCCATGGTGATGTTGATTGTAGTTGAGCATGTACAATGGCAATCATGGGCACAGAGTACGTCACACGATGATCATGCGGGGTCCGTTGACAATAATAGGAGAGCTAGGACCATTGATCATGAACTTACTCTTGATACAAATGTAGAAGGATGAAGATGAACAACAGAATTCCTCAAAGGATTATATCTGACGGATGTAGATGGATTCGCAACAACTTGCAGATGGAGAAATAAGAACCAGAGGAATCAGACGCAGGAGCAGAAGAGAAGTAGGATGGAAGATCCGTTTGAAAGAGGAGAGATATATGTATCAACAAGGTGGTCCGGTCTGAGATCTAGTAGTCGTACAGCTGAGCTTAAGGTGTAGGTGATCGATCGAACGAGATAAAGAGTGGATGAACTGAACTGATGGTGGGGTGGCTATGGTTATTAGTCGATGGAAGAGTTGGGTTGCATCAATATGTATGGATCTCTATGTCTCTGATAGTTGTTTGTCTGTCTTTCTGTACTGTATTTTGTTGGAGAATGGGTAGAATGGGAAGAGACTCAATGGATGGGAATGATGTCCTTTAATACTTAAGACATCGGAACGGTAAATTGAGGAGACACTCCCCTCGTGCCCTCTTCTAGCCCCTGATTTGAGTCAGAATACCAAAATACATGCTCACATCACGCTTGATACATGCGTGAACATGGTAGATACGGTAGGTACAGTAGGTACCGATGAGGTCAGTCTCAATTCGTTGCAAGGGAGGCACGCGATAGTTCCTAGTTCTCGAACGACCTTCTCCCGTTACAGACAACTTAGGGTGAGCTGATCGATGGGGCCAATGGGCAGTCGGCCAGTCGCGTGACCGGTTGACGCAACTTTAAAGATGATGCGAGCGAATGACCCTATTGGACAATTGCCTCAATTCCTGCTCAGACTAAACGAAACGGTAAAGCAACAACGGCCCTCGCCGTCCTTTCACGGGACCCAAAGAAGGTTCAAGAATCTCCGCCCAAAAAGGGGATCTACTGCCAGGTAGCTAGCTACGTACATACAGTAATTGCGTACCCCAATTGCAACTCCAACTGCCACCGTTGCAATTCAAACTTTCCACTGGCTGCACTTATTTTCAGTTAGCTCAGCGACCGGGAACGATTACCGAACCGTTTAGCGGGGTGCTAAGACGGTAAGACAGGGGTTTCCATGCCTGTTTCCATGCCTGGAGGATTGTGGGCTGGCTCCTGTATGGGAAGCAGAAGCAGAAGAGTCGGCCTAGAAGCATGGCGCCAATAAGAGACGGTCGGCAACCTTGGTGGCTTATGCTTAGTAGCTACATAACTACGCAGGCAGGCAGGCTACAAAGGGGGTAAGAAGAGGTGGTCTGTGGTCTGGGTGCTTTGTCGATCTCGAAATCTCGAGAATTTACCCGCTCAATCCGGACCCAAAATACGGTATCCAGGAGTCAATGACAACCTCCCCATATTGGAAACTTGTTCGGCTTAATTCTTGTCATTCATTTCATTACATCATAGCATTGGCAACAGTACATAATTTATTGGGATATTTCACAGCCTCGGTTGTTACTTTTCCCCTTGTGCTGTATTCGTTCAGCCTTAAGAATAAAGTAGGTACCTTGAGGGGCCGAACTCGCGATGGAACCTGTGAACACAGACACGAAAAAGGAGACATGCAGGTTTATGTCACACGCACACCAAACGGAATGCAAAGGCCCCACTTCTACCCCAGGTGGTAAGCTGGGAAGTACCGTACCAGACCTAACCTTCTGTCCCAGGCGATGATGAGCGGCTGCGTGGTAATGCGGGGAAATCCACATTTATTAGCGGCGCGGCTCCTTGTTCGTGTTCTTTCAAAGCATTCGTCACTGCGCTGACAACGCACTAGACATGACTGCAGGTGTGTCATTGCTGAGAGACAATGCTGATCGATGTTTGTTACTAACCTCGCTACCTCGTAGACTATGTAGTAGAACCGACTGTAGACCAGGCCTCAAATGTAAGTAGACTGATAGAATGGTTGAGATATCCAAGCACGTCCCGATGTCGGCGGTAGAGTATAAGCCAGGACTCCGCCCCCAACCCATGGCTGTACAGAATACGATTCCTTGTTCAATCTTCTGTTGCCTCGTCGACTGAAACAGCTGACCATTTCGAGGACTACAATGAAGAATTCATCAAAAATAGACCAAAGTCTAGCCTCGCACACACTGCCCGGATTAGCCGTAGCAAAAGTGAGCTAGCCCCTAGAACACCTGTCGGTATCAATTCATGGCTCGCATCTACAACCTTGCTCACAGCTTGACGTCGGCTAAGTTGGTATTCAATGGCCGTCCCAATACCTGAATTTGGCGGAGAGACAGAATGGTAACCCCAGCCACCGTCGATGATAGTCTTTCGAATATCACTTCCGGTCAGATGTGACGGCATTATTGTATATTGTCTTCGTCTAAGACTTGATGATTCCATTTTCGAAGATGGCATTCTACGGACTTTGTAGAGAAAGGGTGCATGTGACTTCATCGTCACAGCAACGAAATATACACGTATATTTGCCACTGTCTCCGTTCCAGATGTCCATAGTACGGAGAAGGGGGATACGAAATGCAGTGTTACCTGCAGCCTCGAGCAGTCCATGTTGGCGGCCTGGATGTAAAAGCTGCGAGGTTAGGGCTATAGTCTCAGGCCTTTCCCGCATCCAATCATGTGGATTGGAATTTGGTGGTCAGAAGGGCTGGAAAATGGCCTCTACGTCGATGAGGTACGGTACAGACAGGTGTTGTAAGGGCTGACTTGCTCCCGCTATGGCTGAGCCGAGCGCCGGGCTATGTATGAGAGGCCGGGCGATTTTGGTCTAATTGTTAATAAACTCTTTATTATTCTCTTCTGTGTCAGTATGATCTTCTATGAATTGACCTCTTCGAAGATATAGTGCCATTCGCGGCAGACAGTGGCATATGTTGTCGTGGAGTTAGTAGGAGAGCGAGGCACCATCTTCAGAATCATCACTTCGGTTTCGCCGTCGAGGTCCGCCCAGTTCGCCAATCACAACAATGAGAACACAATGATAATCAGTTCACTATTGCGATTAGATTTGTAACTATCGCGGCTGGAATCGCAACTACTGCAAAATTGTTGAATGGAAACTCTCTCGATTGAAAAGGGGCAAGCATATCGGTTATAAAGATAATTTAAATGTGCGGTTACGTGAATTAAATTGAATTATGCTGATTGGCCGGAAGGGACACTGTGCATTTAGGTGCATCCAGGTACGTGTCGATGAAATAGGCACCGTGTTGCCGCAATCGGATCTGATAACAGTTTGCGCGGAGAAATGTTCGTCACTAAAAATGAAATCTTAGGTACCTTAATTGACGACCTGCAGAATACAGTGCTACATGTACCTATTACCTCATCTCCTAAGGACATAACAATACCTACTCGTGAAAGACCCTGACTAATATACCATCTCCGCTCCATTCTCTAAGGGACTTTTAAAAAAAACCAATTTGTAATCCTAACGCAGACACACCATTTATCTCGTCACCAACCTGGAAGTATACAATCAAGAAACATCGTAACTGTCCAGGGACTTTGAAAGTTTGTGCTTCTACGAAAGGAAGCTACAACCTAGTACCTTACTACCTTAACTTATGTAAAAGTTGCCCCTCGTTCATCCCAAATCATCAAAGAATTTGCCCCGCCGAAAAAGATATA